AGAATTGGTATTGTTTATCCTTTGGTTACAACGATAACTCTTTTCCACCTGATCATTCCGTACATTACCTCACGGACTACCGCTTTAGTCTACCTCGCCTTAGCACGGACCGAGCCTAGAGGAGTATAGCCTAACCCCGTGTAACAGTGTACTTCGAATCGCAATGCTTCCATTCATCTGCTTTACACGATGCTACTGTTTTGACCAGTGGATGGCGAACAATTCGATACTTCTGCGTCACTATCGTCAAAGCCCTTGAAGAGACTCGCCGTCTTGATGAGAAGAACTAAGCTCTAAAAATGGTTGTCGTTCGGTCCGGGCCGAGGTATGCAAGCCAAGACGTGACAAGCCAGGAAGGATCGTTGGTTGAACTGCCGGTTGTCAGCATCGGAGGGTAGTCACGGGTAGCGCATATGATGTATCAGGTGTGCATATGACCAAAAACCGGTTTTAGCACGCTTACCCACAACTTAGCTTTGACGCTGAGCGATGAATATTTGTTCACCCACGTTCCAGACCATATCGAATACTCAGGAACAATCAAGCGATGACCGAAAACACTTCATCAGAGCCAACTTCATCGGAGGCGCCTTCAAACCCACCGCATACCTACGATCGCAATCATCCTGATCAGCAAGAGGTGACCGCAATCCTTGCAAAGTTCAACAAAGATCCCCTAAGCATTATATCGCTTGGAAAAGACGGTGTCTTACGAACTCTTTCGGCTGATCGTGCGGTTCTTGACGCAGTAGGTTTGAGCCCACGGCTGGTCAAAGCCTTCTTGGACCGCGTTCCACCGGAGTATCGCGCGCTCACACCAGAGCTCGAGGATGTTGATGGATCCAATGCGACAGAGGAGGAGCTGTGGCACCCTGACGCCAGTTTGCTGCCACGACCCATGAGTGAGGAGCAGAAGAAGAAGGCACTGGCGCAACTAGAGGAATCGCAGCAACAGCAGGCTTAAGTCGAAGATGACATCAAAACGGATACGGGCAAAGCCGATCTTGCTTGAACATAATGGGAAAACGTGGCAGATATGGTGGTTTGCTGCGATGTCTTGGTAGAGTCTACTCCAAGCATCTTCTATGTGTAGATCTGTTTTCTTGTATTGTGCAGACTTCCTTTAGTTTCTAATCGCTGATTGTTACTTCATAGACTAGTCTTCCTGCAAACGCTGCAGTTACTGATGTCTCAATATCTGTTTCCACTAGATTCAATTCTTCGTTCCATAGTCCCACTAGGCTCAAGTCGCCCAATTGCTTTGGCCCAAACTTCGCACCCAAGATCAGATCCTCGATGCCCGAGAAATCACCTCGAAGAATCTTCTCGTTGCCTTTCTTGATAGCGTCATCGACGCTAGCATTCCTCACAGTCCACTTGCTTCCCGTGACCTTCTCCGCGACTTCGAGGATCTGTTTCTGGCTTGTCTGGAAACCTGATACAAACACATACTGATTCTCCGTAGCTTCAGCACTTTCGAGTGCTTTGACAACGGCAAGACCGATAGTTTGCAGATTTGTGCTCGAGAACTTGGCTGTGCCATTCTCGTACAGCGTCGCGACTTTGTTCGCTGCATCGAACCCCAAAAACCCCACTTTGAGCCCCCAGTCGAAAAATGGGCCGGTTACGATACTAGTCCAGCTGATCTCGCTTTCTTTGCTCTTAAGGTAATTGACAGTTTCGACTTTGGATTCATACATGGGCACGATAGCTCGTGTGCGGGCATCAGTGGTGTTCGAGCCGAATTCCGAGGGGAGGAAACGTTTGACACCAGCCGCAATAGCAGCGTCGATAAGTGTCTTTTGATCACCGAGAGCAGACCCAGCAACAAGAGATACTACGACGTCTTGGCCTCTCAAAGCGGTTTTGAGACTATCGATCGAGTTGTAATTTGCGCGCAGCACTTTGACGCCCAACGGAAAGGTGGATGAGGAGCCTTCACGTGAAAGAACGGTCGTGTTGAAATAGGAGTGGTGGAGCAAGGCATGCAAGATCGCCGGACCTAAGTTGCCGCCACCCTGGATGATTATTAGTATATCCTTCTAGATACATATCAGTGCGGTCGACCACTACATCACTGCGGGGCTGTTGGCAAGGAATAGTACTTACCCCGATAACCATAACATTTTTGAAGCTAGACATTATAGCTATTGGCGAGAGTCTGAGTGCGTGTGTTTATGATATGTTTAGTTCACGCGTTCAAGTGTGTCTCTCTACACTCTGAGGATAGACGTGGATATATACTTCGCCCACATTCGATATAGTATTGATTGTCGAATCATCAAAGGGATTACATCATGCTTGCTTAAGCAACGCAACGCAGCGTACGTACTCAGGAATGCGCGGAGCACGATTAACCGACCAATGCAACAGCTCCAACACGCTTCCAAGATCCTGTGCGGGCCGAATAGAGTCCGGAGTTAGTTACGGACATTGCGGTGATAGAAGCTGGTGTACATCGTTTAAATATTGAGAGTTTGAGCAGACAGGGGATTAGTAAGACTGCGGAAAGTGTCCGGTTGTGCTTGAATCGACCTTATAATGTCCCCATCGTTCATCTTGTTCCAGTTTCTCCTTTCGTCTCCTCGCCTCAAGACCGGCAAGGGGACGTCGTTTTCAGACATGCGCAGCACGTAAGCAACGAGGATATCCTCTCGTGATGGAGTAAGATACTGCTAACTCCTAGCCTTGACCTGCATCGACGGTTGACCGTATGCGCGGCTTGACAGGGTGGTGTAGGGGACGTTGCGGGTCTTAGACAAAGCGACATAGCTTCCGCTAGGTTGCGTAGCTATCCATATATACCTAGGTAAAGATCAGTTGTTCTTTACAAATTTAGCTGCACAGATCTGCTACCTTCGCCTCAAACTCAGCTTCGCTAAGTTCTCGCAACCCAACGAGTGAGTTGTCGGTATGCTTATAGTGTGAGTTGTATCTCCCACTTAGCAGTGTTCCTTTGATTAAAGAGAAGATGCTGACCATATCACCTTGTTCCCTTAATACACCTGCCCTCCTCTCCAACTCAGTCTCTACATCCTCTATCTTGACAACAGACCACTTGGTCTCCGGCTTTACGTGCCTTCTGGCCATATCCAAGTATTGTTCCTGAGACACTGCGTACTCGTGGACGAAGATGTTGCGGTTCTTTGTAGCCTTCAAATTTCTTAAAGCACTAGCGACAGCCTTGCCAGTAGCAGCCAAGCTCGTAGTGCTGACGAGAGCTCGGCCGCCGCCCCATATCTCTGCACGTTTGTGTTGCCAATCAATTAAGAGGTCAGACCCCAGGAACTCGGTGAAAGCTCCAATAGAAAGGATAGTATATTCGATTAAGCCGGCGTCGGCTTTGGCGTGGAGGTATTTCTGGATATCAATCATCCCGAGATGGTGTGGGAAGTGGCTGGCATTTGGATCCGTAGTCAAAGCACCGAAATCGGATGGTATAAAGCGCTTGATGCCGGCCTTGATGGCAGCATCAATAATCAACTTCTGACCTGGGATAGCTTCCATACCGACGGTTGACACTATTGCATCTTGGCCACGCAAAGCAGCTTCGAGGCTGTCGATGGAGTTGTAGTCGACAATTCCAAATTTGACTCCGGCTGGAAGACCATGTTTGCTGTTCTCTGATCTACCAAGAATGGTCACTTTGAAGCCAGCATCAACGAGGGCGGGGAGGACATTAGAGCCAAGTAAGCCCTTCTAGAGATAAAAGTCAGTCAAAATTTAGCCAAATGCCCTATAACTACAGACACTTACGCCGAGGAGTACTATGTTTTCAACGGTGCTCATTCCGAAGACGGAAGGAAATTATTTATGAGAGAAGGATGTCGTTGTTCGTTTAAGCAGCAAACGAGATATCGATGTCGGGTATACTTATATAGTACATTTCTTGATATGTAATTTGAGCATGGGACACATTTCTGGATGCACGAAGCGGCAGAGTAAGTCCGCATTTGAAATCATCTTGCACTCATGTTTGTAAGCCTGATCGGGGGATTACCGCATGAGGGAAATGGGAAAGAATACATCCGTTTTGTATCCGCCATATAAGCCGATTGCTAATACTTGCATTAGAGGCCGATGCACAAACCCGGAACTAGTGACCTGCAATCAGTCGCCTGTTTGCTACTGGTACGGACGATACCGGGTATTCTTGCTGCGCCGCCGCTCCGTTACGGACGCAGAGATTGAAGATGCGGGACTCGGAGCAGCAGATAAGAGGGCTATGCCCGCGGAACTCGTAAAGCTCAAGACGAGATGTCTGACAGACCGGTAGAACAAGGTTAGGTATGGTAAGACAACGGTAGGCAGCTGTTAATACGACAGAGATTGTCCAATTCAACGGGTTTTACGGTTTAGAAGTCGACGCGGATTCTAGCAAACTATAGACTGGACTCGAAACACTACGATATTCTACACACTCTCAAACAGAGTGTTAATCTCTTCAATAGTTGGGTTAACGTACTCCTCCTTATCGTAAAAGTCGATATGGTAGGCATTGAGCCGAACTACCCTCTTGAGGCCCTTGTTCTTGCCGCTGAGAAGTTCGAAGAGCCTGTCAGCATGCCACTTGTTAGCCGACCCCTCGCCAACAACAATCAGCAAAGGTTGCGTAAGGAGAACATCTGCAAATCCCCATGCATCCCAGCCCATAACTAAGGGGACAGAACGAAGAGCCATTTTGTTCTGCGAGTTGGGATGTTGTCCTCGTGATGTGAAATAGTACTCGTGTGTATCCAGCATATCGCGACCTGGGTTGTCGCCCTTGGGCGGGATAATGGGGATAGTGATCGCTTCGTTGGTTTGAGCCTCGGACTGGATCCCGAGCGCGATCTGATCGAGGGCTGCAGCTGCATGTGCAGGGTCTCCTTTCCCATCAATTCCAAGACGGGCGCCATCGCCTCCGTTAACAGGACTGACGATGGCAACAGCCTTGAAACGGTGGTCACCCTTCGCTGCAGCTACCGCGTATCCTCCACCTGCGCAGACGCCAACTACGAAGAGGCGACTAGCATCCACGTCACCCAGTCGTTCAAGATAGTCCGCCACAGCAGACACGTCTGATGTTCTCACTGCAGGGTCTTCAAGGTAGCGGGGAAGGCCTTCCGAATCACCCTGATGGGCTGCATCGTACGCAATCGCGATGTAACCCTGTTCGGATAGCTTTTTGGCGTAGATGCTGGCGCTTTGCTCTTTAACGCCTCCACCTGGGTGGATGACGACAACTCCCGGGGCTTTTCCGGAGATAGAGACTGGCTTGAAGAGCAGCCCGGCGAGCTTGATACAGCCCTTTGGAATACTGATTGTCGACATTTGGATCGAGTTTTAGGTAGGTTTGCTGTCTTGGTAAGGATGAAAGATGTGATGAGAAGGAAGGCAGTTGAGTACGTAAAGCTTCCACAACTTCTATATTATATCCAAGGTGAACAAGATTCTATCATTCTTGATAGCAGGAAGAAAGTTAGTGTACGGACGAAAGTGATGATGTCCTTGTCGATCTGAGAACAGTTCGAGCGAGAGTCTGGATCAGTTAATTCTAGCATCCTTCCAGCGAGGACATTGGAGTGCCTTAGCCAAATTGGGCAAGCTCGGTTTTATGCGCAGAAGCCGTGTTCGATCTATACCTAGGCATGCGCTACGGGACAGATCCCGATAATTAGTTAGCTTAACATTGTGGATGCCAAGGCAGGCTCTGCTCGATTTTCTTTTTGATTGGGTTTTCCACTCGGAGATAAGATGTATTCTGCTGCGGACGAACCACGGTCTGCCTAGGTAAGCTAGCTGGAAGCGGACTAGTGCTCCAGGGAGAGACTAATGTTTGCGGACGAACCCAGCCCAGATCAAAGTGAACACAACATGGACTTTTTGCAACGACGTTTGCTTTTATCCACGAAGTCTCTCGAATAGAGCATACTTTCCAACACCTTATATTGTTAGGTCGTCCTTTGACATTCACACACCTTGAAGTTACTTCATTCCTTGTCCCGAGCATCTATCCCCAGTCAAAAGATACCACAATGCATCTTATCCTTACTGGTGCTACTGGCCTAGTTGGTGCCGCAGTATTCGACAACATGCTTGCGCAACAGTCTATAAGTCGTATCTCTATACTCAGTCGACGTCCAGTAGCGATGGCAGAAGGACACGACAAAGCCAAAGTGATCATACACAACGACTTTGGAGTTTACAGCGAAGCGCTGCTGGATGAGTTGCGCGACGCAAAAGGATGTGTATGGGCACTCGGTGTGAGCCAGAATGACGTCGACAAGGAGTAAGTGGGATACGAGCGTCGTAACTCGACGCTCACCGTGGCCTTACTGTGTTCGACATGCTGATTGTAAAGTGCAGGAAATATATTGAGATAACGTATGATTACACACTTGAGGCTGCCAAGGCCTTCTCAACTTTGCACCCAGACTCACCTTTCACCTTTGTGTACGTCTCTGGCGAAGGCGCGACTCAATCACCAGGAATGTTCACTCCGTTGTTCGGACGTATAAAAGGGCAGATAGAATCAGCACTGCTCCAACTACACAAAGAGCGCCCTCAGTTCAAACCTTACAATATACGTCCTGCAGCTGTTGATTGGAGAGAACATACTGAAATCCATGGTTTCATTCCCAAGCAACCATACACCAAGAACGTATTGTTTTCTGCTATCGATACTGTATCCAAGAGTTGGATGACGCCTACAAAGCCTATGGGCAAGATCATGACCGAACTTGCAATGTCGTCTGGCGCTCCTATGCATGACAGCGACGTGGAAATGGAAGGACGTCTTATATCCAATATAGCTTTCAGGAGGATGGCTGGTCTCTAGCTGAGGTTGTTACACCAATGAATACCTGTTGGTGTCTTGTGGACACAACATTATACCAAGCAGAGTACAAGATCTCCTTCGTGATACTTTGAAACACATCAATTAATCGTTTGTTAATAGATGCTCTTTCTAACCGAATCCAACAAGATTTTGGCCGCTTTCATCCGCTTATCACGACCTCCAGTTAGAAGTCATAGCGTTGTGTACAGCTTCCGGAAATGTCAGAAGTCGTCGTGACCCGAAGCGAAACGGTGCAAAGCGCACATCGAGCTGCGCGAGCATCGTGAGCCTTTTTGATGTCGTTGTCTAGAGATATTGTAGCTGGTAAAACTCTATGGCTAGAGCTGTACAAGAATTTTAGCCTGGCCAGATATCTTAATCTACACTTGTGGATAACGCACTACGCTATATCCGCTAGAAAGTTGTTATATAGTCCTTTGTCTTGTTGGAACACGTGGCAGATATTAAAAGCTTGGTAAAGTAGAGTAGTGATCTTTGCAAGTAGAGCCTTGTTAGAGTCTGATATCGCGTGTCATCACAAGTCGCGGTGGAACACAGAGGTGAGGTCGGCATCGAGTCTTTACTATCTAGTGATGACGAGGTAGAGATTATACAGCTCTCCTGCTGCAGCCGTCGACAAATCGCCCACACCAAAGAAGCCATGTTGGTCAATCTAGCCTACCACGGTGCCCTCCAAGCTGCTTCGTTCCTCGGCCGCACGATCGCAGGGTTGAACGTCGGCGCAACTCGGTTTACCACGGTACCGAACACCGATTGAAGCACCGGGATGGTACCCTGCACGGGTCGGTCCTGGAAGCGCTGCATACCATCACGGACGTTTGCGTAGAGGAGACTCCTGTTGAACGGGGGGTAGTAACCTTCGTACAAGATATCCCATTTTGCCGTCGCCCAGGCTGTCTCCGCTGCAGAGATGTAGAGTTCTTGATAGATATCGAACCAGACGCCGTTGTCCTGTTCGAATACCCTGCGGATGTCGACAGCCTGTTGGAGTGGGGCCGTGATCTTTGCGAGCAAAGCTTCGTTGAACGCGGCCGCAAAATGAGGGCCTCGCTCTACCGCAGTGAGTTCTGCGAACGGACGGTCCTCCGGCGCTCCGTTGAGCATGATATGATGATTGTAATCGTTGCCCACGGAGAAGTACTGTATATATATTAGAGAAGGACACGGTGTAAGCGGTGATTGTCATACGCTGGCTATGACCTCCGGAGAGGCCCACATCTTGGCCTGGAGGCTCCTCTGGAGGTCTTGCATTTGTCGGCGGACCAACTGAAACTGGTAACTGTTCGCGGAACGCTGGGGTAGGATGTGCTCTTGGATGTTACCGTCGGTGAAGGCTTGGTCCCGAAAGAACACTTGTCTGGCCTTGCGGAACATGACTGGCTTCGCGTCGTCAAGCAGTCCAATTCGGCTGGCGATTTCAAGGTTCGGCGCCTCCAGCGGATGCTGAACAAAAGCGCGACCTTGGTTTGTCGGCGGCGGACGAGCTCCGTGGCGCTGTGGGTTTTGGGCCATGGTCTGGCTAAGGTGTTTGTGGACGTGGGTGGAAATTGGAAGGTCGCGACTGGGCGTAGTTACTCAGTTGGGTAGTTGTGTGAACGCTTGAGCCACGTGGGTCAAGTATTTACACGCTAACAAAGCGCTGCTACATGTGACTGAGGAAGGTGAGAGAGGATGACTTCAAACGGGTTGGAGGGAAGACTTGAGCCCTCAACCCATCCAAGTCAAGTGAGGCAGCACACCCTCGCCTTCAATACCCCGAACTACCCCGGCTCCTATGTGAGGCAGAGTATAAGATCTCGTTTTTAACACTTTGAAACACTTCCAGGAGTCATTCGTTGATCGATACCCTTTCTTGACCGCCGATGCGAGTAATATCGAAGTCACCATTACCGCGTCTTATACAAGCACGGGGCACTCTCAGGTAGCGTTTGACTACCTCCTTTGATTGGGGTAACTTGCTACCAATGGCTCAAGAAGCTTGATATTGTAGAACTACATCAGGACTAACAAACAAAAAAGAGGTAACTGTGGAAGGCTTAAGACTCGTCAACTCCAGCAAGCCCTTAGATGTTGGCAGATCCATCCATGAGATTGAGCTCCTCAACGCTGGTGGATCCATCAGTGCTAGGATACCCGCCGATGCTGGCAAACCTTGGTCTCTTCTTCCGTTGTTCTTCGGCGCTTTTCTGTAGCCTCTTTCCATGAGACTTAGCCTCAGTCCCCTCCGCTGAGAGCGGTCGTAGACTGGTCACTTCGCGCCTAATTAAAGCGGGGAAATGCTCGGGCTGGGCTTCTCCAAAGAAATTATCAGATTGGACAGCTTTGTTCAAAACGAGAGTCACATCGCTATGACCTGGCTCTGGAAGTTTCACACTGGTCGAAACGGTCGAAATACCCTCCCAAGCAGGAAACTTCACGATCTCGAACCTTTGTTGCTGGAAACCGTTTGTGGTATTCTGCCACAAAGTGACACCGGCATCGTTTCTTGAGTGAAATGGCGTAAAGCCAAGACTTTCACCGGACGACTGTGTCTGCACGTATGCCCCTGACACCAATTCAAGACTTGCGGATTTGAAACTCCAAAGATCCAGAGTAGGCCGTTCAGCAAGCACGCTTCCACTCTGTCTTTCTTCATCTTCGTCTTCTTCCATGTAAACCACATTCTCATTCTCAAGCGCGTTCAGGATATCTATGGGTAGAGACATAACGATTGGAAGCTCGCAATTATGCTCCTTGATGACAAGCTGCTCGCTGTTGCTCGTGAACGTGATGTGCTCTGGGAATGACAGGTGCCCAGAAGGGGTTTCGTAGCAGAGCTTGGGTTGCGAATAAGCTAAGATAATGTCAGTCAGCAATCAAGGTCATCTGTGCGCCTTTCCTACAGTTCTTAAAGACCCAAAGGAAGACTTTGCGTCCTGTCCGATAAGCTACCAGGGGCTTTTGAGGGTGGAACTGAACATCAAGCTGCCGCAGAGGCTCATTATCTTTGTCGCCGAAATTCTGGCCCCCAGCAAACGCCGTCAACATTGGCCCTTTGTTTTCGTCCGGGCGCAATGAAAAGACGGCGGTATTATTTCGGTCCATGAAGAAGATGTAGTCCCCCGCTTTGCTGAATCTAATCCAGTAGGTGTACAACGCGATGCTGTTTTGTCTTGAAGCCTGGTCTCTGTCGTAGCAAAGCTCATTCCATTTTGCCGTCGAGTAGGGCTCTAAACTTAGATCAAGGAGTGCTGATCGCAACCGACCTTCGCTCTTACCCTTCAATGGCTCGAGCCAATAGACTGTCCGAAGTATGGTAAGCCGCTGTAGATCTGAACCCACAGTGACTGGGAATTGAACCTTCCACCTCGGAACTGAAACTCCTGTATCTACGCGAAGGGATTGCAGCAATTGCAGACGAACCTCTGAGGCTTCCAAGAAGATGTCTTTGATGAGGAGTCTCTTCGGCGATCCATCAATTGTCCAAACCTCGTAGCGTGCCATCCATCCCGTGACGCTCTCGTCTTTCAAGAAATGAGAGAATTGCGGCTTGCCATCATGCAAAGACTCGAATGCTCTGCGCTGTTTAGCCATATGCTTACTATGTAACACCAGCATAGCTTACAGTGAGCTCCAGACGGATAAGGTACCGACAAATTTGGGTGTCGATTCTGAAATTTTGCAGAGATATCGTTTGCTCAGTGTGATTCCGGCTTGCTGAGGATCACCAGCAAACAAGGAATGCACGGTCGCTGACGATTTATCGGAGAACTGGCTTGGTGTGAAAGCATGAACTTCATCCCATGCCCATATGCGCCCTGGGCAGTCTTTCAAAGGTGATCCCCAGTATTTGTCCAGCTCAGGTAAGTAATGTATGAGTGCATCTACAGTAGAGAGAACGGATGTAATTTTGGCGTTGAAGTCACCAAACTTGGCTCTTTTAGCCTTGACATCGTCGCTCCAAGCCCTCAATGCGTCTACACTACGGTCGTGGTTCAGGCCCATAGTGTATGTAACTTCGATCCAGACTCGCACAACGGGGTTCTTGGCTAGAAATTGCGCCAAGACGTCAAACAGATTTCTCGTACTGTCCGAATTTACACAGTCTGGTCCGCTGCGAGCGAACAATTCGTCCTTCGTCCGCCGGAGATGGTTGGTCCACAGTACTGTTACATATCCACTGAAAGGAAAGGCTATTTCAAGATCATCAACCGTAATCTGTGACTCCACAGAATTTTTCAAAGCTTCGCCCAAGGATTGAGCCGGCATGTGAAAAAGCATATACTGTAGGCAACTTCGACAGATCTCCATGTGAGGAGTAGACGTCGCAATCGACGCAACATCGCTTCTGATGTCTCCTGGTAATTCCGAAATTCCAGCCTCCGTAAAGAGATTGACGAAGTATCCTTTGACCGTACTGTGAATGAAGCGGAAGTAAACCTGTTCTTTGCCATAATCATCATAGAGCGTAGCTTTCTCGACCAGGCATGCGCAGATCATAACCACGGCCTTGGCGAAATCTCGTCGGCCGGGTTTCGCCTGTGAGTTCTCGTTGAGTAGCTTGACTGACTCTTCCAGCTCTGACGCTGTCAAAGGGCGTAGTGAAAACGTTAACCACATTATGATCCACTTCGCCATCTTTTTCTCATGCGACAGGCCTAGACAAATGAGCTTGATGATGCGCAAGTACATCACCGAAAGTCTTTCGGGCATAGCAATGGCGACAATGGTGTCGTGGCGATCCTGGTCACTCCATGCATCCGACTCGAGGTAGTCCGTCATCAACTTGGCCCATAGAAACATTCCATCGGCACCATCGGTTAAGTGGAGAGTGTACTTCTGTATGTTCGCACCCTCAAGGAGCATATCGCGCTGCGCAAGCTCTGTGAGCCTCCGCTCCAAGAACATTTGGATGTCGTCGGTATTTGATCTTCCAATGTCGATTTGCTGGTCTTGTGTTGTCTTCTCTCGCAGAAATCTGACGTTGGGCCGGCTGAACAGGATTAATTTCGAGTTGGGGCCCAATTTGGTCAAATCGACTATGAGCTCATTCTTGTCAGAGCATTCATCGATTCCATCCAGTACAATGTAATGGGGGCCTATGAGCTCTGCGCACAACTGTGTGAGCTCGAAAAGCTCGGTCTGAGTTCCAGTGGGTTGACCTGATGGGGAGTATCCTATGCCAAATGCGAACTTGTCAAAGATTTCATCGCGCTTGCATTTGTTGAGAATCTGTTTTAACAGAGAGCGATAAGCAGCAGTGCTGTTGTCGAGTGTAGGCTCCTGGCGAAAGAAGAAGTAGAAGATTGGAGAAGCTGTGGGCACCCGCCATTCGAGCTCGTCTATAACTGCGCCAGCAATGATTGTCTTTCCAAAGCCTGGGTTACCTTAAAGCAGGTTAGCTGGCTATGGTTTGATGAGATAAGATTGCCAACCTTGGACCCAAAGTGTATTGTTCCCGAAACGGTTAGAGACTAGTCGATCCAAGTCGTCCGTGCCCACCCGTAGCCACTGCTGAAAGCGATGCTCATCGAAAAACCATTCAGAAGTTCCGTTCTCTCTTTCTTTTCGGGCTTTAACCAGATCATTGGCATATGCTGGAGCAGAAAGCCACCTATGAATTCTGTCCTCAAGCGAAGCTACAATAATTAACACCCTCCGAGTAGCTCTGGACTAGAGGAATTCACCTTTCATCTGCGTTCTTAGTTTCGAGTCTATCTCCTTCTTGAATTTCTCTATCTGGGCTGCGATGTTGTTGCCGATCTTGCTCAGGCTAATCTCCAGAGTGCGGGAGTTTCTCGTTGAATTCGCTATCATTGCGGCAAGATCTCCAAGGCGCCGCCGTATTTCCTCGCATCGATCCTGCTGTTTCTTTGACACTCCACGAATTCCCTGTAGCTCTTTCTTGAGGTCTTCTGTTTCTTTGGCCAGGTTCACATGCGTGGTTTGGTGTCCATACAATGATAGCTCTGTTGTTAGTAGTTTTTGATGATGTTTCATGGAATCTAGTACGTCTTGGAATCGCGCATCATATGGCTTCCAGAACAGACTACTGAATATGACAACACTTGATCTGTTACCTGAAAACAAGGTTAGTTGTTGCATTACAAAAGTGTACTGAATCTACATACTCGTGTCTTTCTTGGTAAAGACCCGCACAACACTTTGCAGGAACACGAAGAGGTCAACATAGATATTTGTCAACGACGCGACAAGCCGAGATGAGGCTTGATACGGCCACGAGAAATTTTTCCTAGTACCCATCAAGCTCGAGGCCAATTCCTCGTACCAAGGGAGTACCTCGGCAAGGCGTAATAGTGTGTTTGTGAGCTTGTCAAAAAACTCTCCGAAATTGCTTGCAAGCTGAATAGTGTGAGCGGAGTTAGTATATGTACCAGAGATCAGTCGTCGTACCTGGAGAACAAGCCGGAAGGCGCCCCATGCTAAAGCTGCATATTCGGGATGCGATTGTACAAGGATCCCAATCACATCGAAGTAATGACGCAGGCTATCGCTGAATATCTTCACACGTCGCATGAAGGCACCGCGCTTTTGAATTTTTTTGATGGAATCAAGATTTTCGACATGTCGAATGAGTTCCTCTGGAGAGCTGCATGGGGTGAATATGCTCTGTTCCTGCGGCGCTAGGGATGCACGGAACTGATCGAGAGCCTCCTCGAAGGGTCCTTTATTCACAGGGGCACTGCGACCTTCAATCAGCACTATCGCAATGCAATGTTAAAGACGATACTACCTCATTGTCCTACGCTTTTAGCCCTGGAGTCTTGGGCATGCTTTCCGTGCAACAGGGATGAGGTGCGACTTTCTGACTGTACGACGTGTAGTTTAACATCAAATGCAGCATGCGACAACAGAATATCGCTGCTGCGCTCAGCCCTTTGGGTGCCAGTGACTCGCCCAATAACAGCCTGACAACTCATGCATGGCGTCTAAGCTCTGCACCCAGCCACAATATCAACCACCGCTTTCGAGAAGGCTGAACGCACAAGGCGCACATGGCTGATTGCGCAGCGCGCGTGATGACACTCCACGCTACAGTGACCGTGCGCGGGATGAGCCACCCAACCATGAAAATTGCGATTACAAAGATGAGGCTGTACGCTCACAGCTAAAAGCTATCATCGCGAGATCTCTTGGTGTATCACTATATAGAACCTTGCGCGTCTTTTGTTTTACTTGAATTTCGCTGATGATGTCTCGATTTGGCGTCCACGCGCGCTGATTTTGGGTGGGCGGACGCCATGCTTGGTGTTTTCGGTCTAGGTCGTGGGGCTAACAAGCAGTTTGCCTCGTCGTTGCCTTTTTCCGATCCTCCAACATGCACTCGCACTGGACGAGGTATCAACTTTTCAAAATTGGGCATAGGCGCATAGTCACAGAAGGGGCAAAAGAAAAAAAGGACAAAAACATGCAACAGCGGGGATTCGCTAGTGGTCACCCACCTAACTACTAATCCGCCGGTACACTGCTTGTATATGGCTGAGCGGACGGGAAGCCTAATTTTCAGTGTCCTATGGTCGTATGTGCCATATACGGCAAATTGTATGGATATATTGAACATCGTAGATAGGCGGCGCCGCATGGATATAGCTCACCAACTAGGTAGCCGAGATCTTTGGACCTTGATACCTTGAATCTTCCCATACCCAGGTCATGATTACCTACCATGCCGTATGATATGACTGCATAACACACAAGGCCTCGCATGCCCGAAGAAGGTTGTTGCGTCCACCCAAGTCCGGTAGGTTGTACCTGAATTTCTAGGACGAGCTTCCGTGAGCCTCGGTAACACCATCATTGCAACATCACACCCTTGCATGTCGCGACCCCAACTATTTCGTCATACCCTAATCCATCTCCTTTCTAGAAATCTCGAAGCCTCGAAACGGCATGAAAGCCGTTTAGTTGGGGTACGGCTGCACGCTTCCGCTAATTCTCCGATCTACAGATCTCTAGTCAGACACAACACCGGGTAAATTTGAATACTAGATCAACAGGGCCGAATTCTCGGCGAATTAGAAAGTGTTTTGTGGTGAGCCTAAGATGAGAAGAGGAAAGCTGTGACGGCGTAGCGTATAGCACTTGCACTCCAAAGGGCAAGAGCGTACGTCTTGACATTGACATAAGGTAATGGCCAGCTCTACGGTGAGGGTCAATTAGATGAGTGTAGATCTGAGTTGAATCGCCGTTGAAGTAGCCCATATGATATCTTGTTCCCGCCATTTGACTCCCGTTCATAGCACCTGGACAATCCCTGAGATACAATCAGCAGTGCAGTCATCACCAACGCTGATAATCCACCACTTACAAACCCATAACCCAACATGTATCTCCTTAGTCTCTGTCTCACTGCTCTCTTAACGATTGGGGTCTCTGCATCTCCTGCCCTGGACAAACGCGCAATATCCTGCCTCAAGGTCGGCGCCACAGCGACAGCATCATGGACCAACGCAGCCGGCCAGTCATGTCGCTGGACCGGCGTTGTAGGCAGCAACTTTGGCGCGAACAGCGTGAATGGTGGAGAGTACGCAGCTCACCGTCTCTTATTCTTCTATACAATACCTAACATACTCCACAGGTACAGCTGTAATGGCCGCTGCGGAGCAGGCTGCTCAGGAACCGCACTAGGCAATGTGTATACACAGGATTGCTTCTCGCACGATGTGTGTTCGTGGTTCAACAACGCTAGTGGTGGTGCGAGGTAAGTTGTCCTTGAGAAAGTGGCATTGAAAGGGTTCTCTTGCTGATACGGTGTCCAGCGATCCAAACTGTGGTGCTGCGTACAATGCTGCGGTTGATGATACAATTGGTGGCGCGGTAGCAGGCTGTGGACAAACCAATCCTTCGAATGCTGCTGTGAAGCCAAGTACAACTCCAACGTGCTCGTAAGCGGGTCAATGGGTAACAAAGTTGTTGATTGCGGGTCGCGATCCACTATGTATTGTTTGCTTGTAGACTGACAGGCCGCTAAGACGGCGAAAATGGTACAATCTCTCTCCGATGCCAATGGCTCATTTTCTGCAGCTAGACCTGGGATAATATGCAGCAACTCTGCCAGCTACATCGAGTATGTGTTGTAGCGTTACGGCGAAGGGGCGAAAAATGTTCAACAGAGCTGGAAGGTCTGCATGTTCAAACCTCGATACTTCAGAGCTTCCGGCAATAATCGCGGGTCGTGTTCTGGAAGGGCGGTCTGGTCATGCCATCCGAATTCTGCTGATAGAGGCCCTAGACGTGGATCGTCAAGAACAGCGCCATCGGAGCCTTTTGTGAACTTTTGGTACATGATACCCTGTTGGCTACGGTCAGCTTGGGCCTGCCAGCCGGGTGGGAGTGGTCCAAGAATCGCTTCTCCGCTCATCAGACCATGTACATAAGCCTCTCCAACCACTACATGGTAACCGCCTGCCTTGGGACGAAGAACCACCGGCGCATCGAAACCTAATAACACCGCAATAACGTCGCCTGTATCTGTCAGCTTGATCTTTGAGTTCTTACTACCAGACCGACCATACCTTCTGCTATCGACTGGGCGCCGAAACCCACGAAACCCTGTCCCTGAAAGAAGCGCCGCCCATGGGTGAAGTCTTGTACACTATTCTGGAAAGCATCAAAGCCAGTCTCACTCCTTCTAAGTCCCCCTCCACCTGCTGACTCAAGCGATCTCTTGCATTGAGATACAGTTGGCCAATAGATGTGTGACGGATACATTTCACGGACACGATTGCCGCAGAGCGTAGCGACAAAATCATCAAGCTGCGGATCGCTCGGATCGCCAAACTTTTCGTCAAACCGCAGTACCTCTTTCGAGACTCTCCTCCAGTAGTCCCACGTCCCATGGCCTTCCCGTTGTGTTAAGTCCTCTATCCATGAGATAACTCCGCACTCCACCCCGACGACCTCAAGAATGCTGTCGTCGATGATGCGCGCACCTCCAGTACAGCTTTGACCTGATGCGAATCGACCGAACGTCATTGGTTCTCGCGGCAATCCCTTTGACCAATCTGGGACCCAAGATGGCCCATTACCGCCAACCTTTGGCATGTCGCAGAATTCCAGGAAGCTTAGCTTATCATATGCATCCAGCCAAGTTTGGCAAGCTCTTTGGTACGTTGCCGATGGGGTGATATTGTAATCGGGGTTTACCAGCATGGAAAAGCGCGGCTCCAAGAGCCCCAAGACAGCATATATCCTGTCGCGACTATCATAGCACTGTGCACGTCGCGTTGCCCAAAGCAGCTTTAGTGAGGGCGTGCTTCTGTTATAGAAAACCAAATTGCTGACTTTAGCCAGTAGGGGTAAAGGAAGCAACGCGTTAAGAGTCTGTTTTACGTCGAGAGCGAGCACCGCTCGGCGAAAGTGGTACCAGGAGATCGAATCACGACCACAATAAAGTCGAGCTGAATCATTCGCTAGCTGAACCTCTTGTGTAATCCAGAGTCTTGAGAACCATGGTCGCTCCAGTAGGGTCCGAACAGCGGTAGCTTCTCGATCAGTAAGCGGTATCTCCACATCAGGACGGAACCATCCTTTCTCTTGGCACGAAGGAGCTTCGAGATAGCTTTGGTCTTTGGAATACTCAACCTGAGCTCCGATATAGTCAAGTATCTCCATGGCCCGCGCACTGTTGTCCTCTTGTGACTCCGGCCCCAACCAGACGTTCACTTGCTTCGCGAATCGATAGATCTGGTCCATACGCTTCACCTGTTTACCCCGCTCTTCCAGATTACTTTGATCGATGCAAATTGCGTCTATCCAAAGTGTTCTTTCCCTGTCTGCAAAGCGGAGGTACTGCA